TCAAAAATCTCCCAACAAAGAGAAGCCTAGGAATAGATGGCTTCACTGGTGACTTTTACCAAATATTTAAAGAAGAATTAACACCAAACCTAAACTCTTCCAAAAATATTAAAGAGGAAGAAACACACTCAAACTCATTTCATAACACCAGCATTATCATGATACCAAAACCAGAAAAAGACATTACTAGAAAAACAAACTAATATATCAGGCCAATATCCCTGATAAAACTAGATGCAAAAATTCTCAATAAAATTCTAGCAAACCAAAATAAGTGGCACATTAAAAGAATCATACACCAGACCTGACCAAGTGGGATTTATCCCTGGAGTGCAAGGATGGTTCGACATATGCAAATCAATCGATGTGACACATCACATTAACAGAATGAAAGAAAAGAATCACATAATCATCTCAATAGATACAGAAAAGCATTTGACAAAATTCAGCATCCATTCTTAATAAAAACTCTTAACAAATTAGGCAGAAAGGGAACATATCTCAACATCATAAAGGCCATATATAACCAACCCACCACTAACATCATTCTCAATGGTGAAAAGTTGAAAGCTTTTCCTCTAAGATTAAGAACAAGACAAGAAAGCTCACTCTCACCACTATTATTCAACATAGTAGTAGAAGTGTAGTTAGAGCAATCAGACAACAAAAAAATAAATAAATAAAATGTATCAGAATTAGAAAGAAAATTGTATCTATTTGCAGATGACACTATTTTACACAGAGAAAATCCTAAAGATTCAACCAAAAACTTGTTAGATCTAATCAATGAATTCAGTAAAGCTGCAGAATACAAAATTAAAATACAAAAATCAGTAGAGTTGCTATACAATAACAATACATTTTCTCAAAAAATAAATAAATAAATAGATCCCATTTACAATAGCATCAAAAACACTAAAACAGCTAGGAATAAATTTAATTAAGAAGGTGAAAGATATTTACTCTGACAACTATAAGGACATTGATGAAAGAAATTGAAAAAGACACAAATAAATGGAAAGCTATCCCATGTCCAATGCCATGTTTTACAAAAGTAGAAAATCACCCCTAAAATGTATATGGAATCACAAAAGGCCCTGAATAACCAAAGAAATTCTGAGAATGAAGAACAAAGCAGAAGACATCATACATCCTAATTTCAAAGTATACTATAAAGCTGTAATCATCAAAACAGCAGGGTACTGGCATAAAAATGGAAAAATAGACCAGTGGAACAGAATCGAGAGCCCAGAAATAAACCCAGGACTATATAGACAACTAATACACTTCTGGGAATTATCCAAAGGAAATGAAAATACTAACGCAAAAAGATATGTGTATCTCCATGTTCATAGCAGCATTATTTATAGCAGCCAAAACATGGAAACAATCTAAGTGCTCATCAGTTGACGACTGGATAAAGAAGTTGTGATATATATATATATAACATAACATTACTCAGCCATAAAGAGAGGATATCTTACCATTTATGACAACACAAATGAACCTTGAGGGCATTAGGCTAAGTGAAATAAATCAGACAGAAAAAAATAAATACTTATATACGGCATGGAATATAAAACAGAAACAAACCAAAAACTCCAAACTCATAGAAAAAAGAATCAGCCTTGTGGTTACCAGAGATTGAGGAATGTAGTCCAAAGGTACAAACTTCTAGTTATAAGATAAATAAGCACTGGGAAAGTAATGCACAATACCATGACCAAAGTTAACACTGCTACATGGCACACAGGAAAGTTAGTAAGAGAGTAAATACTATGACTTCTTATCACAAGGAGTTTTTTCCCTTTATTTTCTTTTTATTGTATCTATATGAGAAGTTGGATGTTAACTGAGACTATTTTAGTATTTATTTCACAATATATGTAAATCAAACCATCAAGCAGTATGCCTTGAATTTATACAGTGATGTGTGTCAATTATTTCTCCATAAAGCTGGAAAATAAAGAAATAAATAATAACCTTTCTGGTCGTAGGGACCAGAGTCTGAAGAAAAAAGGGGCAGGGGCTGAGAATACATTTATTATACAGGGTGGGGCAAAAGTAGGTTTATAGCTTGTTCATATGGAAAATAATGCAATAATTAGTAAATAATAATACAAGAATAAACTCTGTTTCATGTACTCACAGCTGTAAACCTACTTTTGTTCTACCCGTATTGCTTAACACAAGATATTCATAAAAGGTAAAGCATTCATACATGAAATAATAATCAATTATTAAATAGGTTTATATTTTAACAATAGTCTAACGCATTTTTAGCATCTCTATTTCCTATTATTAAAAACTAACAAACAAACACACCAAACGCTAACACCAACTGTTTGCCCTGGCAATAATAACTGCAAAAGTAGTTGCACTGTGTCATCAATGCAAGTCAAGAATAAAGACCTAAACATACGTATACTAATATGCACTGCATTGAACTAAACTAATTAGGAATTAGATGACTTAACTTTCATTGTTTTCCCACTGCTTCTAATCTCACACATGTGAATATAATCAATAATCTTTACTTAATACTACCTACTGAGCTCACTGTAAAATAAACATTAACTTTCACAGTACTCATAAGCAAAAAAAAAAATGAAGAAAAAGTTTGAAAAAGTCAGTGGAGAAAGATATTACACGAAGTTGTTTTTGTATAATTTCCAGGTATTAGGGCACTGTGTGGGCCATTTGGGCACTCTTTCTCAGAAGACTGTTAAGATAAAATCCCTTCTACCTGAAATGGAGTGGAATTCTAGAGGACACAGCTACCTGCACTAAAAGTAATGAAGCAGTTTAGCCTTTTGGTGGCAAGAGCCCTCATCAGTAACCTGGGTTCACAGGCGAAGGCCACGATGTTCACTTGCAAGGAAGCAAGTGGCCCGTTCTGACCAGGAGGCACCGCAGCAGCATCTTGCAGGCATCAAGTTTTGATTCCAGTTGAGGTGAAGATCCCAAGGGAAGCCCACTATGGAGATCTAGGACAGTCACGACACATGGGAGCACTGCTGAGAACTAAACCCAAGAGGAAGGGTCAGGAGCTATGTGCCGAGGGAAAAGCATTCTTGGCCACAGATAATCCCTGAGAATCAAAAAATAGCCACGTTTTAGTTGTGTGTTTTCTGTTTGTTAAGGAGAATCTAAATAAGTGAAGACACTGCTTGAGCCTCTAAACATTATCATTTTTTAATTGCTTATCTGGTACATGCTTTGTAGGTGAACCACTTCACATGAAACATCAGGGAATCCAGAGGTCTAGGCAACTCCAGAGACCTTACAGATGAGGAAACAGAGGCCCTAAGCAGTTAAATGAATTGAGTATATTTAAGTGTAGTAGATTACAGGTTCAAGGCACTAGTATGTATTAATATTATAGTGTTTCTTCTATTGGTATACATATGTTACACTAAGGATAAAACATACATAATACCATACCTTTCATGGAAATCATGGTAGTGAAAATATAAATGCACATAAGTAAGCACTCAATAAATAATATTTCCTATAGATCATCATAGGCAACAAATATTCATGCAGGTAATTTTCTCATTTGAGAACTGGTCAATCCTACTCATCAAAAGTCTGTGTCTTTTCTTTAATTAATTTCAGAGAGAGAGGGAAACCTGATCAGCTGCCTTCTGCACATGCCCTGACCAGGAACCGAACCCACCACCTCTTGGTGCACAGGATGATGCCCCGACCAACTGAGCCACACTGGCCAGGGGCAAAAGTATCTATTTTAATTCAGCTCTATTTAGGCCTAAAATAAAGCCTCTGTCAACATTTATAGGCTCTTAATATTGCAAAGAATTTCAAAATCACCAAGTACCCTTTTGCATTTGGATTTGAGTATTAGAAAGCAGCCATGACTCTCCATGGCTCTTCCCTACCATTTCCTACGCTGGGCCAATGAGGGAGACTGCAGTTCGCATAAGAAGAAGAAAAATGTGAGAAAATGAGTGAATCCCCCATGGTTCCTCTACTACGGATTCATTCTATGAGTCCTGAGTCCTGAGATCCATCCCAGTCTTGGGTTTCACTGGAACCAGGCAGAAATGAGGTTACGGTCAATGACAGACTCCACTTGCCTCTTAACCCTCCAGACCCCAAGTTTCCATGGTCAAGCCTATGTTTTATCTACTTTGTCTACAACCACCACTACCCCCTTCCCCCTTCCCCCGCTCACCGTGCCACTACTGTGCCTAGCACTTGCATGGATGGGTGGACGGACAGACATATGGATGGATAAGTGAATTAACACGTGAAATTTTCCTCTTTGGGTCTACTATAATTCATAACATTTATTCAAATGTCAGAATAAAGTCTTTATCTCCTCCCCTGGGGAAATACTGTCATTGTTTTCTCATTAAAACTTACCAAATCTGTGTAGCTGGCAAGTTTTTAATCATAATAAATACCAAAAGATATCATAATCTGGGTATCATAACTTCAAATCCAGGACTCAAAGAAAAATGTCTAGTCATGAATATGTAGTGGGAAATTAGCATCTTCTCAATGTTACTTTCTATGTCAGTTAGACCTGTCTGTGCCTATCAGAATGAAAAGGGATTACGATTAAAGTTAGGGCTGGAGTTGATGCTTTAAATGTTGAGAGAGAGAGACTTTCGATTTCAAAGTGTCGCTTAAGGAAGCGCTATGATATACCTACAAAACAAATGCAGTTCTGTTGTTAAAGTGAGGCATGACTTATTTCACAGCCCACGGAAAGGCAGAGTATGAAATGCACCATTCGTTGATGTTGAGGACGCACCCAGAGCCGGTGGGTACACATACAGAATAGGACTCATTTCAACAGTCGCCTGCCCACATTTAGCAGGGAGAGGTGTGTTTCCATTAGAAGGCCCCTGCCAGGACTTCCTCATAGTTTCTAGGCAGCTCTTTGGAAAACAGGGAGCCGCAGATAAGTAGGAAGGAAAATGCATTCCCCACCCTCCGAGGCGAGAAATAAAGTGCGGGTTAGTGCTACTCACGGCTCCGCCTGCAGGCTCCTGTCCTCGGCCACATAGTTAGAAGGAATATAGCCCTCCAGACGCTGGCCAGAGCCGGCTGCCCTGGTCTCCAAGTGCCTGGCAAACCACCAGCCCTCGGGGGAGGTGTCGAGGACTTGGAGCTTGTCACCCGCGTGGAAGCTCAGGTCCTCTGCAGTCCGAGCCTGGTAGTCAAACAGGGCCACGAAGTAGCAGCCCCGTGGCCGGGGAGCCTCGGGGGGGCAGGGGCTCTCTGCGTTCTCAGTCGTCACCTCGGGCGCCACCGGCTTGCCTGCCTCCCGGACAAAGCAGGGGAGACAGGGCTTCAGGTACTCCCAGAGCCTCGGGCAGATGTTGCCCATGCTGCCCTGGCCGAGGGGAGGAGAGGGGCTTCTCTCCCTCTCCCCTTTGTCTCTGCAGGTTCACCGTCTCTTCCTCTACCAGGCCCTTTGAAATCGGCGCCGACTCACCAGGCTCTCAGGCAGACCTGGCTTCTGGGAGAGGCGCCCGGCTCGCTTTCTGTGCAGTAGCTGCTGTCCCAGAGCAGAGCCCAGTGGGAGCTGGGCAGCTGCTGGGTGGCAAGATGCCTTTTCTTCTTGTCTGCTTAGGATCCCACAACAAAAATAAAATTAAGAGGGTTTTATTAAGAAAAGTGTCTGAGAACAGAAAAAAGTCACCTTGCCTTCTGTCCCAAGAAAAAGTTAAGGAGAGAAAGATGTTCACTCCAGGTAAGAGATCCACATCTTGCCTTTGCCAGGAGCTCTCTCCCTACTGCGGGGCGCCTCTGCAGCTCCACCAGTCCTGACCCCAGCCAGTGCGCTTTCCCTTTTGCTAATGAATGACCAGCCAGCCGAGCCTACGGCCTTCAACATCCTGGGCTAGTCCGAACACACTGTAATAATTCCTCCTTACTTCCTGGTTTCTTTTTGTCTGTGATCTAAAGAAGAATTCCAGGCCTCTTCACCTCTCCCTTCTCCCACACCCAAGAGAGACCAGCGCCCTCATCAGGAAGCAAAACTCTAGAAGCAGCTGCCGAAAGCCCTGCTCCTGGACAAACAGGCTAGCCCGGGGCGCTTTCTGTCTAGCTGTGTTCCCAGCTCAGACACTAAGAGCAGAGATTTCCCCCTGCCCCACCC